ATATATATATATATATATATTATTATTATTATTATTATTATTATTATTATTATTATTGTGATAGACCGGTCTACTATTTTTTTAAGTAGATATATTTTTATTTAGGGACTTGAAGTTATTATTGTTCATATTCTATTCCTAAGATACTTAGAACAAATTTTTTAAGAACTTGATAAGAAATAACAAAGTTTAAAGAGTACTTTCAAAACTAGAAAATTAAGACTAGCAGAGAAATAGAATCAGGAACTGATTAAGAACAAAAGAAAAATATTTTTCTCAAAGAAAGAAATAAGTCCACTGAATGCACAGTGTCCCTTTAGGAAAATTATTCCCCTCAAGTACCAGAGGCTAACGAAATATATCCTTCCATGATAAAACGATTTTACTCAACGGTGTATTGATACCTAAAACCATGGTGTCAATGAACCAGTCAACTCTTTACTCTTTGCTTAACTTGCAATTTGAGCTTTAAAACAAAGTTAATACGTTTTTTAAAGACTCTTGAAAACTTTAAGAACCTACATTGACTTGCTTCTTAACTTTTAGATTGGACTCTTAACTTCTTTGACTTTGATCTTAACTTTTCTTTAATTGAAATATGGATTCAAGGTTCATGATCTCATGTTTATGGATGATTTAATGATGTTTGTACCTTAGAGTTTTAGAATCAACTAGGAAATGTAGGTACATAACTTAGAAACTAGTTCGAAAAGATGGGAAAAAATGGGGTGAACTGACGTCCTTGGCGCTCTGAGAGGCATGGGGCTCTTGGCCCCGAACTTCAGAGGCCAGGTTGGGGCGCTCTGGCTGGCGCGGTGCGGTGCCCCAACCCCTATACACGAGTATTCTCGACTTTCTTCCTCCATTTTTCATCTCTAAACCCTCTAAACTTCATGGTGCTTTCCTCAAATACTTAGGATCATTATTGCCCTGAATACCCAATAAATCTAACTCAAAAAACAACCTAAAAACATGAATCAAATAAACACTTGGTATTCAACAACTCAACCAACAAGAATTCGACAATGTTCTTCCAAGAATTTCACATATTAACATGTAAAAAACTCAGCAATTACGGAATTGTAATAAGTTTGGTGTGTAGGTGAACTGACCCAATACTAAAAGATCTCACATATCTTGATAGGTATCACCACCGACGAATTCCACTCGCAAAGCTTGACGTTCTTGGGGAATTCATGACTTCTCTCCTTTTCTTTCTTCTTTTCTCTCTTCTGCTATCCCTAAGCGAAATTATAACTTTTCCAAACTGATGTAAGACTTGCTTTTACCCCAATAAACCTCTAAAACTAAATAGGAAATTAACTGGTGAAAAGACTAGTTTGCCTTTCTCTAAATCCGAATTGAGATTTTCCTCCATTCAATAGCCCAATTTCCAAAAATCATAACTCAATCATAAAATATCAAAATCACGCGAACTCGGCAACGCTGGAAAGATTATTCAAATATGTTTCAACCCATATTAAGAAGCACCTCTAACTCATCCTAAGCTAGAAGTTATGACCGTTTGAAAATGACCTAATTTTTTTCTAGATTTTTCCTTTTCTTTCTTGAAATGATTATTTTTAGTTTCTTAGCTTATTCTTAGCTATTTCAAGGTGCGAGATGTTACAATATCTCCCCTTGGGAACATTTATCCTTGAATACAATTTCTTTCACTGAGCTAAGAATAGTAACCTTAAGTTCACACTCAACAATCAAAAGCAAGTAACAACATGATTAGACATAGTTTATATAGTACTAAGAAGAGAATTAGTACCTTGATATGCATCTCCTCTAGATTCAAAGATATGTGGATATCTTTTCTTCATATCTTCTTTAGCTTCCCAAGTAGCATCTTCAACAAATTGGTTTCTCCATAGGACCTTGACTGATGCAACCTCCTTTGTTCTCAACTTGCGAACTTGGTGATCTTAAATATGAATTGGAATCTCCTCATAAGATAGTTATCTTCAATCCCAACATTTTCAGTTGGTACAATCAATTAAGGATCGCCCATTCACTTTTTCAACATAGAGATGTGAAATACCAGATGAATTGCTGCTAACTCTTTTAGTGGCTCTAACTCATAAGCTACATTGCTAATCCTTTTTGATGTGCGATAAGGTCCAATATACCGTGGGACTAAGTTTCCCTTCTTACAAAATCTCATAACACCCTTCATAGATGAAACTTTCATATATACCCAATCATTTACTTCGAACTCTAATGACCTTCTCTTAACATCAGTGTAGGATTTTTGACAACTTTGTTGTTTTCAACCTCTCTTGAATCACCTTCACCTTCTCCACATCTTGTTGAACTAAATCTAGTCCTGTCGAAACTGCTTCACGATTCTTAAATCATCCAATAGGAGATCTGCATCTTCTCCCATAAAGAGCTCCGTATGGAGCCATTTCGATTAGGCCTGTGCAAAAATCGGGTCAAACCGTTAACTCGAACCAATTTTTGGGTTATTGGGCTAACAGTTTGAGTTATTGGGCTAATGGTTTGGGTCTCAGTTTAGAAAAATATTATATTGGGTAATCGGTTGGGGGTCGGGTTAGGAAGCCAAAATCTCGAGCTACCCGATACCCCGATAAGACCCATATTGATATTAATATTTTTTATTCCAAATTTTCTAATTTTATATTAGGGTACTAACACCATTACACCAAAAGTTTTCACTTCTCACTACTCAGGGTTAGGGACTACCGGACTAGGGTTGCGCTTCCGCCGCTCAAACTCCAATAATCCAAGATCTAAATCTTCCAAACTCAGGCAACGACTGCTCCACTTACGTCCTCCACTGCTCTAGTCAGTCAGTCACTCAGGCGTAACTCGTAGGGCAGTCACTCTCACTCAGGCGTCAGGCGAGGTCCGAGCCTCCGAGGACACAACTCACAAGTCACATGGTAACTATTGAGTGTTGTATTTACCATTAATTTAGTTGTATAGTTCATCAGACGTGCCATCAAGATTCAAATACACACATTGATTTATTAAGTATTTCAAAAGAAAAAGTCTTTGGCCAAAATTAATTAGTCAGATTTTACAATAATGGTGAGCAAATTAACAAGTAAAACACAAATCTTTAGCAGTTTCTTTGAATGTTGATGAACCTAGAAGTAGAAATCTTGAACGAAAGATTGAAGTGGTTGAAGAAAAAAACATTTGGGTTTCTGTGGGGTTGATTATAGGTACTGTATAATCCTATGTTTCATTTCATTCTTTGTTGTCTTATATTCCAAAAGTGAGCTTTATAAACCTTTTTTAGAGGACATATATGGATGAATCATTATTACTTAGCATTTGTATTACTTAGCTCAAATTTCAGAATTCGAATTTGCTGCTTTGTGTGAACTGTGATGTGTCTAATTGTCTATTGTCAAGTATGTAAAAATTTGATATGTCTTAGCCTATTGTTTGTACTTTGTAATTTCTTTAATAAAACTACTTAGTGTTTATATCTTTTCACAGTTTTTGGTAAATGTACCATGGCTGAAAATATTATAATTGATAAGGTTATTGGTGAAAGTGGGGTTCTAATTCAAATACAATAGATCAAAGTCAAACTATTGAGTTTAAAGTAAAGAAAGGAAGGTAAAAAGGATCTCATGCGTGGGATCATTTTACTCGTAAAACTGATATTGATGGAAGTGAAAACGCTGTTTGTAACTATTGTAAGAAAGAGTATTTTGCTGACACAAAAGAACATGGTACAACGTCAATGCTTACTCATAAAAACAAATGCACAAATATGCCTTATAATATTGATATTAACCAATCAAGATTAGCATTTCAACCAATTATAGGGGGTAACAATGGTGATATAGTCGTTGTTCCATGTAAATTTTACCAGGAAGAATGTAGAAAGGCCTTATATCATATGGTAATTATTGATGAGCTTCCTTTCAGATTTGTTGAAAAAGAAGGTTTTAACCAATTTATGGAAGTAGCACAACCTTGTTTCCACATTCCCTCCCGTACCACTGTGACTGTTTTGATCTTTTTGATGAAGAAAAATGTAAGTTGATGGCTGTTTTTAAGGAAACACAACAAAGGGTGTCTTAAGCCACTAATACTTGGACTTCCATACAAAGAATCAATTATATGGTCATTACTGCTCATTGGATTGATAAAAATTGGACTTTGCATAAAAGAATTATCAACTTTTTTCCAATCACTAGTCATATAGGTGAAGATCTTGGAAAGTCTATTAGTAAGGGCTTACATGAGTGGGGATTGCATCGAATTTTCACTGTAACAGTTGATAATGCTGGTTCAAATACTTTGGCAATAACCGAGTTGTCTAAGCAATTAACTAAATGGGGAACCAACTTAATGGGTGGTAGTCACCTTCTTATCAGGCGTATGGCTCATATTGTGAATCTTATTGCTCAATATGGTACAAAATAAGCAAATGTGTCTATTGAAGGAGTTAGGCAAGCGTTGAGATACATAAGGCAATCTCATGCTAGGTGAAAAAAGTTTAAAGAATGTTGTGAAACTGAAAATCTTGCTAAAAAGTCTTTATGATTGAATGTTCCTACAAGGTGGAATTCCACCTACATGATGTTGAGCAGGGTTATTGAATATGAAGGGACAATTGTAGAGTACGCCGATCGTGATATTGGCTTGACACTTTATCTTAAGTTTGTTGATAAAAACTCTACAGGTACACTTTTGAGTAGTGATTGGGAGGGCTTAAAGAGAATTATAAAATTTCTTTAAATGTTGTTTAATCTTACTTTGAAGATATCTGGTTCACAATATGTTACATCAAATCTTCATTTTTTTGAAATTTGTCAAGTTGGTGTTTACTTGAATCAATTGATATCAAATGAAGATCAAGTTTTGCCGAAAATGGCAGAAAATATGAAGGAGAAATTTGAAAAATATTGGGGTGATGCTGAAAAAAATGAATAAGATGGTTTTCGTACCATGTGTTTTGGATCCTCGTCACAAATTTAGTACTCTTGGCTTTGCACTTAAGAAGATGTTTTGAGAAAAAAGGGTTGCGATAGAAAATGGTGTGCGAACGTACATGGAAGCTTTGTTTAATGAGTGTACAAAACCCATTTTAAATGATAAAAGTTGCCAATTTTCTTCAATTGGTGTGGATACTTCTATTTCAAGTTATGTACGAGAATTTGGAATTTTTTTGAGGAATTACATAAACATAAATCTGAAAAGGGAGGTGCAAGTTCAAAGTCAGAATTAGTTAAATATCTTGATGAAGAAACTGAAATTGAAAAATCAGATTGTGATGTAGTGCTTTGGTGGAAAGTTAACTCACCTAGATTTCCATTTCTTTCTAGGATGGCTCGAGATGTGTTGGCTATTCCCGTTTTAAGTGTGGCATCTGAATGTGATTTTAGTACTGGAGGGAGCATACTTGATTCATTTAGGATTTCATTAACTCCTATATTTGTACAAGCTCTAGTGTGCCTTCAGAATTTGCTTCGGAGTTAGCCACAACCCATAATTATTGAGGAAGATTTAGATTTTCTTGAGAAACTTGAAAAAGGTAAGAAAAGAATCTCATTGATGTTAAAATTGTGAATTGTTTATTTAATACTTTTATTGATTAAGCATCGTATTTTTCTTTAGATTTTGCTAAACTTGGAAAAGAACTTTGCATTGATGACATGTAAAATTGGAGGAAGGAAGGTATATGCATGTGTTATCTTGTCTTTGTGTCTTATTTATTATTGATCTAATAGTTTCTCTGTTTTTTTGCTAATCAGATTTCATCATGCATCGATCACTTGTTTGGAATCACTATGAAAAACTTGAAGAATATGAAGATGGATCGTGGAGGGTAAAATGTATTTATTTTGGCTGTGTTTATTACCATTCACGCAATACTGGGACTGCCTCCTTAAGAAGGCATGTTTGGAAAACAGGAACCATAATCGTCAACTTTTGAGGATTGATGACCAGTTATAATGTTGTTTACTTGAGCATGAACTATTAGAACTATGTTTAGACTCAATTTTCCGGTTGTGTTACTGCTGTCTGGCGTCTTCTATTTTAAATTTGTTTGTCTGTGTGGACTGTGGCAGGCTTGAATTGTGTTGAATTTTTTTCTTGTGTAATGTTGCAACTTGCATGCTTGTAGCTTGTACTATTTTCTATTATTATGTTACAGTTTATTGCTGCTTTATTATGTTATTTTATTACGAGATTTCATATTTGTGTTGCAAAGTTTATATATGTATTGTATAGTTGTTGTAGTGTTAATTGTTAAAGTAAAACTTGATGAGTTGATGTTGTTGTTGCAATGAGTGGATGTTGTTGTTGCAATTTTGCATTTCCTTTTGGTGAAACTTGAAATTGCAGTGCACTAAATTGGTTCACTTTCTGCCTGCATATTGCAGTGCAAATTGTAAATTGCAATTTGCAATTCTGTAGACTTAATTTGCAAAGTGTGTGGGATCAACTTCAAATTTTTATGTGATTTTTATTTAAAAAAATTGTATGATATGTTAATGGTTAACTCGATAACCGAATCGATAAGAGTCCATAACCAATTAACCGATAACCGATAAATCGATAACTTAATAGTTCTTTAATGGTCTAGATAGTCTACAAACCGATAACCGATAAGAAAAACTGATAATGTTCAAAACCAAACCGAACCGACCGATATGCAACCCTAATTTGGATGCTCGAATATTAACTGTTGTTGTACGCAAACTCAATGAGAGGTAGGTGATCATCTCAATTACCCTTAAAATTAATCACGCAAGCCCTCAACATATCTTCTAAGGTCTAGACAGTATGCTCTTCTTGCCGATCTATTTGAGTATGAAAATCAGTACTAAAGTTCACCTTTGTACCCAAACCTTTTTTTGGAAAGATTTTCAAAACTGTACAGTAAATTGTGCACCTGTATCTGAAATAATCGAAATTGGGAATCATGAAGTCTCACCACTTCCTGAATGTATAACTTTGCATAATCCTTTGCTGAATGAGTAGTCTTTATAGGCAAAAAGTGGGCATATTTTTTCATTCTATTGATAATAACCCAAATTGAGTCATTCTTGTTGCGAGACATTGGTAACTCTGTGATGAAGTCCATAATAATAATCTCCACTTCCATTCTGGAAGTTTTGTATTCTTAGCTAACCCTCTTGGCCTTTGGTTCTCTCCTTTCACTTGTTGGCAATTCAGGCACTTGACAACAAACTCAACAATACCTTCCCACTAATATACTTCTCTCAAATCGTGGTACATCTATGTGAAATCCAGATTAATGGAATATCTAGAGCTATTAGCGTCCTCCATGATTTTTTTTTGGAGCCCATCCACCATTGGTACATACAACCTACCCTGATAATTCAATATACCATTTCTCCCTTATTCAAAATCTAATACTCTTTGATTATGAACATTTGCCTTCAATCCAAGCAAAATGGGGTCTTGGTCTTGTTTCTCTTTCACTTTTGACACTAACGATGACTCATCCCTATTTGTCACTACTATTCCTTCCAATGTGGAATCCATAATTTGAACTCTGAAGCGTGCAAGTCAATGAACATCTTTGGCTAGTTCTTTCTTCTCTTCTTCATTATGGCACTACCCATGAACAACCTGCTTAACGTATTAGCAACCACATTAGGCTTACCTGGTTAGTAATGAATGTTCATGTCATAATCCTTGAGCAATTCTAACCATCTCATTTGTTCGAGATTAAGTTCTTTCTAAGTGAACACATATTGTAGGCTCTTGTGATCAGTGAATATATCAAAATGAACGCCATGTAAATAGTCATGCCATAATTTCAAGCAAAAACTACATCAGCCAACTCTAAATCATGGGTTGGGTAGTTCTTCTCATGAACTTTCAACTATCTTGAGGCATATGCTACAACCTTGTCATTATGATTTAGGACACAACCAAAACCAACTCTAGATGCATCACACTACACCATAAAATCTTGAGTAACTTCCGGTAAAGTCCAGACCAGGACAGCAGTCAACCTCATTTTCAATTCTTGAAAGCTTTTCTCACAAGCTTCAGATCGTTAAAACTTAACTTTCTTCTGAGTCAACTTCGTGAAAGGAGATGAAATAGAAAAATCCCTTAACAAACCTTATACAGTAGCCAACCAACCCGAAGAAACTCCTAATATCAGTTGGAGACGTTGGTCTAGACAAACTTTGAACTGCTTCTATCTTTTGGGTATCAAGTCTAATTCCATTACCAAAAACTAGGCCCAGTAATTCCAAAGACTTAAGCCAAAACTCACATTTTGAGAACTTAGCATATAACTCAATATCTTTCAAAGATTGAAGAACTATTTTGAGATTACAATCATTATTATCTTCATTACTTGAATATATTAGTATGTCATCAATGAAGACGATAACAAACATATCAAAATAAAGTTTGAAGACCTATTCATAAGATCCATGAATGTTGCAGGCTCATTGGTCGACCCAAAGGACATGAACAAAAATTCATAATGCCCATATCTGGTTCAAAATGACATCTTGAGAATATCACATTCCCTAACTTTCAACTGATGGTAGCCTGCTCTAAGATCAATTTTTGAGAAGCAAGAAACACCCTGAAGCTGGTCGAAAAGCTCATCAATCCTTGGAAGAGGATATTTATTATTGATTTCAACCTTGTTCATTTTTCAATAGTCTATACATATCCTAAGGAACCATCTTTCTTTCTCACAAACAATACCAGAGCACTTCAAGGTGAGACACTTGGTAGAATGAAACCCAAGGTGAGACACTTGGTCGAATAAAACCCTTATCTAACTGACCTTTTAACTGTTCTTCAACTCTTTCAACTTTGAAAGTGACTTTTTATATGGAATAATAGATATATGATAAGTATCTTGAATGATGTTTATGCCTAAGTCTATTTCTCTCTCATTAGATAATTAGGAAAGACTTCTAAAATCTCACTTACTATAAGAACATACTGGATGGGAGGTACCTCAACACTTGATTCATTAACTTAGACCAAGTGATAGATACAACCCTTTGGAACTAACTTTCTCGCCTTAAGGTATGAAATAAAATTACTCCTAGGCACTCCTGAACTACTACTCCACTATATGAAAATCTCATTATGAACCTTAAACTTGACAACTTGAAATCTACAATTTATTAATGCATGACAGGAATGAAGCTAGTCAATACCTAGAATGATATCAAAATCTACCATGTCTAACTCAGCTATGGTGTTATTGTGATTTATGGAAACATGACAATCATAATAGACTCTTTCTGCTAGAATAGACTCCACAACATGTGTAGAAACACAGAAGGGTTCACAAATTTTCTCAGATATAAGGAGTAATAAAAGAAAAACTTGCCCCGGGGTCTAGTAAACCATAAATATTGAAAGTAAAGAATTTGATCATACCAAAGACAACATCTAGAGAGCTCTCTTTCTCTTGGGGATTAGTGATAGCATAAAGACAGTTTCATCTTCGTTTGCCCCTGAAGTAGCTCATCTAGATGGAAATCTTATGTGGTGAAACAACTATAGAAGACTAGGCTATATTGCCATCTTTACGAATACTACTTCTATTTTAGGACACTCTCTTGTAAAATTTGAAGAAATCAGTGAAGCAATCACGACACACACTTGATGACTGCTAGCACATTTGGAACATGCAAGAGTCTTAGTACTCCCTTGTGCCATATTTTCTTGCAAGTACGCAGGTCTAGCTATGAAGTTCTGAGAATCCTAACTATTGTAACATATTTGGTTCCTTGGTGTAGGTGCACTAGCAGAATATAAAGCAGGTCCTTTATGCTTCTATTATAAAGAAGACCAGTTCACATTATTCCTTTGCTGCCCAGACTCATTCCTTATGTCTTATCCCTCTTATTCTTGAACTCTTATCCATCCCTCAATTTTCCTTCTCAACTTATTGCATATGGATTATCAACCTTGCTATGCCCACGCCATATATTAACATCACAACCTTACTTTTCTTACTTGACAAACGAGACAATCCAGATACAAACAAGTTGTTTAGCTTCTCATGTCAACAATCATCTCTTAGCTTCTCTTTGATCACGAGGAAAGAAATGCCCTAAAAAGGCCTCTTCAAACAAATACCATCTCACAATCGCTTACACGTAAGCACGAGTTAGGAAGACACTTTGTTAGAGATAAACTTTAACGCAGGAAGTGAGTATGAATGAAGTGAGAAATTTACTAAATGTTGCAGCCTCCTTATTATAAATGTGGCATGCTTCACATCGATAACTAGGACTCTACATACAAGACTTCATACACTCCCTAGGACTCTTGAACCTGGATCTGATATCAAGTTTGTTACGCCCGAGCCTATACTCTAGGTGACATTGGCCCCCGAAGATCATTACTAGACTGGAGTAGACCCTTGACCTAGATTACTTAACTTAGTAGAAGACATTCAATAAAACAATATCATATAATAATTTAAAGAAATATAATCTGCCCAACTTGGCAACTTAAGTCTTATAGCAAAAGATCTGCAATGCAAAAATAAGAGATTCATAACTAACTGTTTGACTTTCTGTGAAGCCTCTATTATACAATGATGGATGTAAGGACATAAACCCCTCCTATTAAATAAACACTAAAAAGTGAATAAAACTGACCGCTCGAATGCAAGAAGGATAACCACTGACTCCGAGTGCTTAACTCGATCAGCGAGGAACTGGATGATGATGATCCTAGTTACCTGTGTTTGCATTATAAGATAATGTAGGCCAATTGTCATCAGTTTATTAAATGTACGAGTATGCGAGTTAAAATTCTAACAACAACATAAGATTG